CTTTCTGGGGGAGCGAAGAAGTCTGCTATTCGACTCATGTTATCTGCATTTTCTCTGTTTGTCACAGTTACATTTTGTACTATTGGGGCAAAGATTTCCTGCAAAGTTTGTGCTAACACTCCTATCATATTATGGTTACTGTCATCCATTAATTGCCTAAAGGCCAACTGATTTTCTGTGGTTAAGATAGGCATTGCACTATAACCCACTGACCCTTGGTTATTTGTCATAAATTGATTTGCCCCAGACCCAGACCCTAATTGTGGTGATGAATTCGATGTGGAATTGTGTAAGCCTGCCATAAAAGATGTTGGCATTCCATAAGAGGAATTTCTGGTTCTATTACCATCGAAACCGGGTGGTCTAGTTAGTGGGGTGGAGAAATGGGTTTGTGTCCCTGATGGTGGGACGAATCCCTCAGGGTAACCAATGGTTCCAGTATTTCCTAGGATCGAACTGTTAGTTGATATGCCATTTGTTCCATTAGTGGCTACGCTACTGGTAGAAGATGCAACAGACTGTGCGTTCGAAGGGATCACATTAGATGTTTCCATCGAGGCGGAGATATTAGAAGGGGCATTTTGTTCCCCTTGTTGATTGTCTGGATTAGACATCTTGTTTAAACGTTTTCTTCTGGATAAGGGTTGGTTGCTATTGGTTATTCTACCACTTATAAGGTTCATATAACAACAAACTTATCACTCAGAGAGTATTTCTACAATGGTTACGTCTCAACAATTTTTTACTTTGTTCTAAATTTCGTAATGACCAATGACGCGTCCCACCGGGTGTGCCAATTTGTTTACAGTGATTTCTGGTAAACAACCGCTAGTCCTCCAAACTATCAAATAATCTTAATGACTGTTATTTAATCTCTCTGGTAACTTGCAGGATCGACTAGATTGATCCTAGAATGTATTGGTCATTTGGGTAATTCTCATTATAGAACTGATATTCATGGTTGGTATTTAGAATGTTGTGTAGGTGTTCAACTTACTTCGATTACTCTATTAAAGATCTAATGACATGATCAAGTAAATGCGTGCGAAACTAAATTGCATGAATAAAGTTCAATTGTAAAGACATGTAAAACTGTAGAAAAGACAAGTAAATGACTTCGAAGCATAAAAACATGTAATGTAAAAGCGTTTCTGGAATGTAAAAGATTCGAAATATGAAGAAAGCGTTTAAATGCAAGAAATCAGTAAAATGACTTTAAATGAAAAAAGGTATTCGAATGATAAAAGCATGAAGATAAAGGCATGAAATATACAAAAGTTTCTGAAATGTAAAGGATTTGAAATGGAAAGGAAACATTTAAATGTAAAACATCAGTAAAAATACTTCGAATGAAAATATTTTAATGTAAAGGCTTTTGAATGATATTGACATGAAGATAGAGGAAAAGACTGAAAATGATAAAGAGTTTTATTGAATCATAAACACTTGGTGTTATCATACATACATTGTTCGTGCATTCGTTTCCCTAGCCATGTGGTATTTTGAATGTTTACTGAATTTTTGTACAATAGATATGACACACGAAATCCTAATGCTAAGACTTCTATTTATACTACTTCGACCATAACGGTCTTACTATAAGATCCTGCCACGTTCAGAACATGCAAAGCAATGCCCTCCTCTAGCTTTCACGCGTCTTCGAATGCTCCAGCGCATATATTTTAAATTTCGAACATCCCGCTTGCGTTTGAATTTCAAATGTTTTGGCACTCTTCGTTTCGAACTCATTTCTTGGACACAGCCTTGTTACCATTTCGAGACTTCTTTGAATATATCTCCATAACTGTGACTCGAAGCTCAGAGTTTTGACATGCCCATTCGAAGCACTGCTTCTACCATTTCGAAACATGACATCCTTCTTTATTCCAATCGAAACGTCCAATTTGCTTCGCTTCTAATAATATCATCAAAATCTTCAGCCAACACTAGGCTACCGAAAAGAAGATGCATCTTGTTGGTATAGATAATACTAGTTAATCCTTATAAGAATTCCTTCAACTATGTAGTCATTTTCCTGCACAACCTCTAGATCCCTCTCATCCCGATGTGAATTCAGTGAACCATTCCCCGCCCTCTTCGGCCTCGGGTGCTACATACATTATAACCGCTATATGCCTTCTTTGGTCTTGGTGTTAGAGGCCCATCAACTTCCGCTTGGTTCGTTCCCGAACTACATCTTATTGGGAGAGGTATGCTCTGATACCATTTGTAATGCCTCATACTACTTTCAGGATTATCGACTGACCCCACAAACCAGCACGAGTCTATTCAGCATGATCTGTCCTCACTCACACGCTTTCTGGGAAACTTCTCACAAGGTCTCCCATCCAAATACTACTTCAACTCAAGCACGCTTAACTGTGGGGTTCTTATCTGCTAGGCTACCAAAAAGAAGATGCATCTTTTTCGTATAGGTAGTACCAATCAATCCTTATGAGTTTTCTTTCCACTATGCAGTCCCTTCCCTGCACAACCTCTGGATCCCTCTAATTCCGATGTGAATTCGGTTCAACCATTCTCTGTCCTCTTCGACCTCGGGTATTATATGTGATGCAACCACTCTACGCCCTCTTCGGCCTCGAGTGTTACACCAGGGGCGACGTTGTTCTTGAATGAAGTCTATTCGAATCGAATTAGCATTTCTCATACCATCCTAGGTTTCTCCAGCTCTACAGGGCGCCCGAGCCCTGGATACGCCTAGCGATCGAGACATAAGGGGTGTCGGGTTTCTTAGCCTAGTATCTTGAACCTCACATTCATGATATCTACATTCAATTGTGACTCGGAGACACGATTGAAGCACACCAGCTCAGTGTGCTTTAAAGTTCATTTATTTACAGAAATTACATGTGCAATAATATTTATATTATTCTATTGATTCCATTTACAGTTTATTTTGATAAAACTTGTTTCAATAATCAAAAGCAAAATTTTGAAGGAATTACTATTCAACCTTCTTTCTGTGACATTTTTATCTATTTCCACTAACACAAACACTTGTGATTTTATTTAATTAATTTATTTTTTATATTATATATCAGTGTCAACATGTTAATGTGTATCTAGTGTCCTTACTTCATATTTATTAATTGTTAATATATATGAATGAACTTTTATTAGATATTAGAATTCATTCAATTTAATTGTTTGAAATGTGCAAAATTATATTGAATTGTATTATGTTTTTTTAAATAGAATAAATGTTTGTTTTATACACAATTCGCGAACTCAATCCAACTCTAGAATATCCGGGTTGGTTCTGGTTGATTTTGATAGTAAAATTATGAGTTAAATGATGAACTCATTCCATTAAAAATAGAACGGTTGGATCATAAGATTAAGTCAAATTCGGTCGAATCTAACTCATATACACTCTTAAATGTCAAACTCGGTCTAATCTAACTCATCTACACTCTTAAATGACTTCATTTTGGGTCTGCCTGTTTGAAGAGAGTAAGGTAAGCAAGAAGTAGGAACGAGAGATTAAAAGAAGAAGTGTCAAATAAATGCTGCTTGGTTTGCAAAGAAAATGGAGAGAGACTAAAACTTTGTGGGTCCCACATACAAATCTTTTTTCTTCTATGGTGCGAAGAAAGGATGAAATTTGTTGTCTTTCTCTATTATATCCTTACCAAAACAAAACATTATGGTGAGGCAAACACAAATCTTTTTGCAAAATAATTACCACGTTAATGCTAGTGTTGTAAAAATTTAATAATATCAGTAATTAAAGTAAATAAGAAATTTAATTAATATATAATTTTTATTAAATTAAAATAAAACTACATTTATTTTTCTATAAAATTAATTTAAATTTAATAAAATTATATGTTTAATATAAGGATATTTTGATTTTTTAAAAGTTAAATACATATTTTTTTCTTCTATTTCTATTATCTTTCTCTTATAACAATCAACACATTAAATCATATTTCTTTCATATTTCTCTCTTTTCATACTCTTTCCAATCTTTTTCTCTCTTCTCACTTTTTTCTCACAACCAAACACATCCTTAATGACTTGTCAAATTATTCAAATTTTATCACATAACAAAGATTTAAAAATATAATTATTTTAACATATATATATTTACATTTATGCATTTTAATAAAATATCGTATGAGTTTAGAGGTTTCATCTAAGAGATGCTCCATTTAATTAGTCCATTTAAAAAAACAGATGTAAGATATTTTAATAAAAAATAAGATTAAAAATTAAATAGTTGTTTAATAAAAATATTAAAAAAAAACATGTCAAATATTTTTTCTCCCCCTCTTCAATTTTCCGTCCAATCTCTCAAAAAAAATTATTTTAGAACAATCAAAAAAATATTTTATTTCCATTATCTCCTTCAACCTTCTGTTTTAACCATTAAAAATCTATGATTTATGTTTCAAATTGAAAAATAAAAAAAGGAAAATGGTGAAAATTTAAGAGATAAAAGGAAATTCGTGGCCGTGATAGTGAATCACAAAGACTAAGATAAGAATTTTATATGGTTGATAAAGAGAGAAAAATATATTTTTCAAAATTTATAACATATCTCTTTTATTTTTAAATTTAGAATCGTCATCCTTCGAATTGAGCTAAATATTATTAGAATTTAATTGGTATGCATAAATAGTATACAAAAATTTATATAATTAATTAATTATAATTATTATATTTTAATTGAAGTTTAATTTTTATTTTGATTATTTATAAATAATTATAATGCACTTAAAAAAGTTTACACTAAAAGTACATTATAATTAATCACTTATTTATATCATATTCTTAACTTATATAAAAAATATTAAAGAAGAAAATTAATACCTTCACTAAATAAAACCTTATAACTTATTTATGTTATTAACAATGGGATCATATCATTGAACTCAAGTGAATACATATCAAAAGAAGAGAAAGGATAAACATCTGTTTTATTTCATCCACATATAAAAAGATTTCAAACACAATGTCACACGTCCAATTCATGATCAAGCCTTAAATGAGGGAGGAGGACGAGGAATAATATAACCTGAAAGAATAACATTGAGAATAGAAATTAATATTAGTTTTTCATAAAATAAGTAATATTTATTTGAATTTGATAATAAAATGTTATTAACTTACTTCCACATTTATCCGTAGGAACGTTTGGAACTTTACAAGCGTTTGCTACAAACAATGCTTTTTCCATGCTGATTGCATTTTCAATATCAGGAGTCACATTCTTGCAGTAACATGAGGCATTAACGCCTTCCAATGACGCACAACAAGCTTCTAAATCTGCTAATGGTGGATTTTGTGGTGCATCTTTTTCAACGAACTTTTTACATTGAAATACAATGCCTAAAACATTGCCACCACAATTAAGTGGAAGTTCAGCACAAATTCCTAACACTAAGATGGTTAGTGTAAGTATACATGTTGCAAAGCTTAAGCATCTAATTGCCATGATGATCAAATCAAATCTAAGTGATATTTTCTCAAATTTGATCAACTATAAAATGAAGGAATGTTAACTTGTATACTGATGCAATAGATAGTAGTTTATATAGAAGAATGAAGATGTGAAAAAATCATAGCTATTTATCATTTACTTTTTTTACTTGAAAAGTTTTTAATAATATAACCCGACACCGAAATTTTAAAATTAAACTTTTACCAATAATAACGTTTAGACGTTACCTGTTCAATATCATCACATTAAATGTAAAAAAAATTAAATTAATTCGTGTACATACAAATTAATTTAAATTTGTCTCATCAAAAAAAATTTAATTTTAATTTAAACCTTATATGTAAAAACTAAAAAATTCAAAAGTACCAATAGCATATATGTACATGTTTTCTTTTAGATATATATAACGACATTAAAATTCAAATACGATAAAAAAACGATCGTGAGAAATAAGTTTGTATTTAAAACTAAAATTCATTACGATTATATTGTCACTAATATTTATATTCTTATATTAGAGAATCTATTACTAATTAATAGTAATAATTACTAATAATGTGCCGAAAATAAAAGAGAAATTATTACTAATAACAAATGATGATGTTGATATGTTACTGTTTTAATGAGATTACAAATACAAGTAATATTTATTTACATGTAATATTTATTGTTCTTTATACAATATCACAAATAAAATTTCAGTTTAATATTATTTTAGATATTTTCATAGTGAAAATAAGTTAAGGATAGTTGGATATATGAAATTCTAATATTAGGAGTGTACAAAGGACGAGTTGGGTCGGTCATAAACTTGATGAAACCTGATGATAAATAGAACAATACTAAAAACAAGGCTCTATACAATAATATCTATAAGAAAACAAATCAAAATATTGTTTATCATAAGACAAAATAAACACAATTTCTTGTATCTACAAATAAATGTAAATTTTATTATCTTATACTTTAACCAAAATAGTAATTCACCAAAACATTGTATTAAAAACAAAAGATAGTAAAAATATAATCTTACAAATTAGTTAAATGTTTGCGACCAATACCAAAATAAACCATGCATAAATTAATGAATACACAACCATTTGAAGGCAAATTTTTAGCTACCCATAATAAATAGTCGGATATTCTTGAATAAAATTTAATAATTTAACTGTTGTAACTGGTTAATATGGAGTGTAATCGGTTATCGCGGATGAAAATGTTGAAAATCCATCAAATTCTACGATGAATTTCTACCACAATGACAATTTAATTATGAGACAAACAAAGAAAAGAAGACAAGACAAATAATTTCTGCAGAGTTTCTCTCTGCTCACAAACTGTGAAAACTTTATTATTCACTTGCAACTGCAAATTCTGTGAATACAATGAATTGACTTACTTGACTTACTTGACTTGCATTTGAAAAATAGGGGTTACTCCCTCTATTTATAACTGAGCTTACACCCAAAGCCCAAAGCCCAAAATATCTTTTTGTTACTAAATCAAATCAAATCAAATATATTCTGGACTTAAATCAAATCTATTTAAATCTAAAATAAATCAAATCTTCTTTGACACTATGAATTACAATTTAACACACCACCTAATTCATTGTGTCTAAACTGTCTATGTTCATCATGGCTCTTAGCTTTCTGAATACTTCGACTTGCACTCCCTTCGTCATGATGTCTGCAATCTGATTCTCAGTTCTGCAGTGTTTCAAATTCATCTTCCCATCTGCTATCTTCTCTCGAAGATAATGGAATCTCATTTCGATGTGCTTACTTCGACCATGTGCTATTGGGTTCTTTGCCAGATTAATAGCTGACATGCTGTCTATCTTCATGGTAATTGCTCCATGATTTTTCCCTATTATCTCTTCGACCAAGTTCACCATCCAAGTTGCTTGACATGCACAAAGAAAAGCAGCTATGTATTCTGCTTCGCATGATGATAATGCCACTACTGGTTCCTTTCTTGAATTCCAAGCAATTGGTGCACCACCTAGCATAAACACATATCCTGGTGTTGACTTTCGATCTTCAGCATCACTACACCAACTCGAATCAGTGTATCCCATTAACTTGCATTCTTTTCCTTTATCAACTGCAAGAAACAAAATGCCATAATCGAAAGTTCCTTTGAGATACCTTAGTATCCTCTTCACTGCTTCTAGATGTGATACCTTTGGCTTCTGCATAAATCTACTTACCATACCTACACTGTATGCTAAGTCAGGCCTTGTATGACAAAGATATCTTAATGATCCAATAAGTCTTCTGTATTGGGTTGGATCAACATCATCTTCATCTGTATCTTTCGACAGTTGCAGTCTTGGTTCTGCAGGTGTCGAAGTTGAGTTGCATTCTTCCATCTCAAACCTCTTGAGAATTTCTCCTGCATATCTTCTTTGATGCATCATCAAACCTCTACTGCTCTTGTAGAATTCGATACCAAGGAAATATGAAATCTCACCCAAATCAGACATTTCGAATTCCTTGCTGAGATCACCTTTGAAGTCTTCGATCTCACTTTTACAGCTACCTGTTATCAACAAATCATCTACATAGAGACATAGTATAAGCAATTTACTCTTGCTTCTTCTTACATATACTCCACGTTCAGCTGTGCACTTCACAAATTCCTTCTCCCTTAGAAAACTATCAATTTTCTTATTCCAAGCCCTTGGAGCTTGTTTCAATCCATACAGGGATTTATGTAGCCTGTACACCTTTCTTTCTTCGTCATGTTTCACAAACCCAACTGGTTGTTTAACATAGACTTCTTCATCTAAGGGTCCATTTAGGAATGCACACTTCACGTCCATCTGACATATGTGCCAACTGTTTATTTATGCTAGACCAACAACCAACCTGATTGTTTCGATCCTAACAACAGGTGCAAAAACTTCGTCGAAGTCTATTCCTTCTTTCTGCAGAAATCCTTTCGCCACAAGTCTTGCTTTGTGTCGAGTTACTTCACCTTTCGAATTCGTTTTCACTTTGTATACCCACTTGACATCAATTGCCTTTTTGCCTTGAGGCAATTCGACAAGTGACCAAGTGTTGTTGTCTTCGATAGACTTTACTTCTTCGTCCATTGCTTTCACCCACTTCGAATCTTTTAATGCTTCAGCTGCATTAACAGGTTCGACATCTGCATAGAAAGCATAATGTACCAGCTCACCTTCATTATCTATTACATCATCTGATGTAATCACACAATCTTGCAATCTTGCAGGCATGCATCTTGTCCTTTAAGGTCTGCTTGTACTTGGTATATCTGTTGGTTCCTCTTGTCGAACTTCTCTTTCGACTTGAGTTTCTGGCTCTTCGAATAGGATTCCCACTGAATCTTTCTTGACATTTGCAGTCCAATCCCATTCTTTAAACTCATCTATGATCACGTCCCTGCTGATCACAATCTTCTTGTTCTCTGGATCGAACAACTTGTAGCCTCCTGTCGAATGATATCCAACTAGGATCATTTGACTTGACTTGTCATCAAGTTTTCTTCTCAACTGATCTGGCACATGTCTATGTGCAATAGATCCAAATACCTTTAGATGACTCAAGCTAGGCTTCACACCAGACCAACATTCTTCTGGAGTAATTCCTTCTAGCTTCTTTGTAGGACATCTGTTCAAAATGTATGTTGCAGTCAAAACAGCTTCACCCCAAAACTCTTTAGGTAAACTCTTGCCTTTCAACATACTTCTTACCATATTCATGATGGTTTGATTTTTCCTTTCTGCAATTCCATTTTGTTGTGGAGTATAGGGTGGCACCACCTCATGCACAGTCCCTTCCTTTTCACATAATCTATCGAATTCTTTCGACACATATTCTCCACCACCATCAGTTCTCAAAACTTTGAGCTTTTGACCACTTTGTCTTTCGACCATAGACTTAAACCTGGTAAATACTTTGATCACTTCACTTTTCTTCTTGATCAGGTAAGTCCATAGCTTTCGACTGAAATCATATATGAATGTAACAAAGTATTTGTTACCTTCCATCGAATCCACCTGGATTGGTCCACATACATCAGAGTATATGACTTCAAGACTAGCCTTCGATTTGCTTCCTGCATCCTTGCTGAAGCTATTCTTGTGTTGCTTCGCCTGCACACATTCCTCACATACCTCATTTGGAATGTCAATTTCTGGCAATCCTGAAACCATATTTCTTCTCTTCAAATCTCTGATGTCTCTGAAGTTGAGATGACCTAGTCTATAATGCCATATCCATTCATCTCTGCTAGCTGCACTCGAAAGGCACTTGTGCTCCATCACATTTAGTTCAATCTTGAAGGTTCGATTCTGAGACATAGGAGCCTTCAAGATTACTCTCCCATTTGTATCAACGACTCTCATCAACTTATCTTCGATTGACACTTTATAATTCTTTTCGACCAACTGCCCTATACTGAGCAAATTGCTCTTCATGCCTGGTATGTACAACACATTGGAGATTACTGACCTTTTGCCATCTTTCCTCATGATCATAACATCACAAATACCTTCAGCTGCCAGGGTATTGTCATTTGCAAATTTTACCATATTTTTCTTTGAGGGCTTTATATTGACAAACCAGTCTTTCCTTCCAGACATATGTGATGAACATCCTGAATCCAAGTACCATTGGTCCTTGAATCTATCTTCATCTCTTGTTGTGACCATCAGCATCATCTCTTCTTCTTCATATTTTGCAAGCTTTGCATCACTTTCTTGATTCTTTTGTTTTTCTGGACAATCACTCGAATAATGTCCATATTTCTGACAATTATAACATTGAATGTGACTCTTATCAGGTTTTCGACCACCACCTCTTCCTTTGTTTGCAACACCACCTCTTTGGTTGCCTTGGTATGGTCTTCTTTGATTCGACACGTCTCCTTCGATTTGGTTTCTTCTATCATTCGATTTGTTGTAGCCACCTCTACCTCTGTCGAAACACTTTCCTTTTGCCTTTGGTCTCTTTTGCTGAATGTGC